ATAGCATAGAAAAACTGAAACAAAACAGTAATGAGTGCATTTTTACTAAGACTGATAATGTTGCAATAGAAAATCAAGATTTACTTGATACTCTACTACATATATTATTTTACTTATATAACACAATACGAAAAATGTTTATCATATGTAAGATTGACACATACATATAGATTATTTTATAAATATTAAAAGAATGAATAAAACATGCATGGAACTGCTACATATATTTATTTTGCATACCTTTGTCAGAGTTAACAATAATCCACGTATGGATGTTACAACAATACAACCGACGAGATAAAAAGAAATGTGCTGCGACCAGAATGTGACGTCGATATTGAAGCCAATCCAATGTACTGCGATTTCAATTCCTCTGGTCACAGGATCTTTCTTGCCGACCCGATCAAAAACTATATTAATCGTAGACTGTAAATATAATATTTATATGTATGATAAATGAACATCTGTTGTAAATATGAATCAAATTATTCGCGATAAAATTATTTTGTTATTAATAAAATGCACTTACAATAAATATTTTCCAAGTGCAGTATAAAGAGAAGAAATAACCCAGAAAATTAAAATATTTTCCTTGCCAAGTAGCAGCCCACTGCAAACGTTCTCTTGCATTTTGTATATCATGTGCTTCCAAAAATAATTGTCGCGATAATTCTTCTAAAGCAGTAACTTCAATTTGTAATTGTTTGATAGCTATAAATAATACGTATTATCGTTCAGATAAATGATATAATTTATAATTTCTATGTTAAATTATAGACATACTTTCTTGATTTCCCTTTGTACCACCTAGTGGAGCTAACATCCCCCATAATCGAGATCGAGTTTCAGTTTGTCCATCGGCTTCGCCTTTTTTGGCTAATGCAATTCTTTTTTTTTTCGCAATAATCATGTCCATAGTTTGTAGCAAGCGTTTTTCTATAGATTGCACATCCGCATAAGAAACCGGACGCATAAAATAAGCCATTGAAGTGTATGGATAATTTACAGCACCGAAACCTGAGAGAAGAGCCATTACTGTGACACCAATAACTCCTATCCGACTGACGCCTTGTTCTATAGACAGCAATCCTTTCTTGGGGCTTAATATGGGGAAAGGATCACCAACTTTCCAAAATAAATAGAGATAGAAAAGATATATGATAACTGTCAATGGCCGTATTAGATTCAGTCTTACTGCAATATTAAAAAATTGTCAAATTTGATGAAAATAAATAGTAGAGATGAAAAGAAAATTGTAAAAATTATTACCAAATCTAATATTGCTGATGATAAAATATGCTATATAAAATGGTATCAGAACTATCACCATAAATAGGAGCATATAAAGGCCAACATTCCAATGGAAATATCTAGAACTGAAGAAAGTATGATATATATTGTACTTTAAATAATAAAATATGATATCTATATCTGTTATTTCTTACCTTGAGTCAAGCACTCCTGCTATTTCAAAAATAATTAATTCAAACATAGTGCATGACAATGAAAATGTTGTTGAGAAAATTAGTTGCACTAGTCTATGATGAACTTCATAATCCCTGAATAGTTTCTTCACAAAGAATACCCATCCTCCTAAGAAGAAAATTACCTGAAATATAGAATAAATAATCAATAGAAATTATCTATTATATAAAGAAGATTTTTTGTATATTAAACATATCTTTGTAAAAATAAATAGGGACATATACAATTATATATGGAAGATTCAATATTTTGTAATATAATAATTATTCTCAAATATATATATATAGTAATTTAGTTGCAGTTGTATAAATATATCATGCAAAAAGATCCATAAATAATCCTCCATAAGGAATTACTGCTATATAATTTATAGCAAGAAACATAATATAGACTATAATGAAATTTATCGACATTAGATTTAATATTAAATTTACACTAAATATATTAAGTTAATAGCGAAATAAACCATTTTCACACAATTTTGTGAGAAACATTTATAGAGCATCATACTCTCTTTATAACCTTAATCAGCTCAGGAAGTATCAATAAAACTGATTTTCGTAGTGGAAACAAATTTCCACCTGTGTTATAAGAATCACGAAAGTGTCCTCGATGAAACCCATCTTTCGCTGTCACGATTTTCACTTCGCATCACGAAGTCCGAGTAGTCCGACCGGTGATGCTTATTAGGTACTTGACAGGACGCAGACAATTCTATACGATAGCACAAAAAATCCAAATAATGTATATAATCATGAAGTATGAACTATAAAGAGACCGTACTAATGATGCATTTAATATCAGGAGTACCAATATGGCGTCTTTCATTTTAGAATTGTGATTAGTTGAGCCATTTGTACTTTTGTACACGCATGCTCTCTGCAGTTGTGAAATTTTATCTAAATAGACCTTAAAAGTCGTATTACTGCATACATGTTTTATAGCATTGTTTTCATTTTTAAGCAAAAGCATATATATATATTAAATAATATTAATTATTATAGCTGAAATTTATATTTTATTTTTATTTAGTATATAATATCTTAATCAAATATGTTCTATTATATATCCATTAATGTTAAAATTGCATGATCATTTTCATAATTACATTATGAAAATGATATACCTTGATCAATATTTTAATCAATATGTTACATATGGATTTTATGTTAAATTATACTAGATTTGATCATACTATGAAAATGATATACATATATATATATATATATATATATATATATATACGTACTTTATTAATCAATTTTAATTAAGTTTTAAAGATAAAACAAAGAATGTATATATATTTACATGAAAAATATAACAAAATAATAAAAACAATTAATAAAGTTTGATATAACAAATAAATAAAGAAAATACAAAAATGTTAAAATAATTTGAATATATTATCGCATAGGTATATATATATATGCCGGACGACATAAAATTCTCGTAGTACAAAAAAATTTGCAATTTGCAAATTACAAAATATAATCTTTAGTTTGTGAAACGCGATTACTTGTACATACATACATAGAACATATATACAACAAATGCACGCATACGTAATTATCATTTTTGTAAGTTTATTCTTTGCACGTCGTAGTGGTTGTTATCTCGACGATAATTTATGATACCTACTTATCTCTAAAACTTTAACATTTGCTTCGCGTTAGTGAATCAAGTGAGTCTGGGTTACGAACGACGCGTATATTGTATGTCTATATTTTCTTTTCTGCAAAGATTGTGACATTATATATAAGTGCAAAAATCTGTGCTGCAATGTGACTTTATATAAAAGTGAGCTGTGAAATTATAATTATAAGGAATTGCATTAAAAAATTTTAATTTTGTTGAAATTTTAATTTTGTCAAAAGGGGATATACATATATATAGATCTTATATATTTTGTGTTTATAACTTTTAATATTTATAATAGATTTACTGCTCTTCGCATTTTTTATATTTGTTTTTTTTCTAATTTTTTATCACAAAGTAAGTAATCGCATATTAATTAAATTATTACATTTGACAATTAATATGTGCATGCATGAAAATATATATGTGTTATATATTTTCACATTTAAAGAATCATATAACTTTTAATTTTCTTATTATAAATTTTATATATCTAAAATTTTTATGTCAATAAAATAACATATTGCTTTTATATAAAAAATATAGCTAAAACTCATTTAGATATGTACAAATAAAGAAACTAGATTAGAATATAAAAATAATATCTATAGTATGTGTTGCAACAAAAAAAAAAAATGACAAATATAGACATTAGAAAGTAATTAAATTATCAAAAATCTGTCATCATGTTTATATTGTAAAACAGATAATATTATAGATTGTTTTTTTAATGTCATTCTTACACAATCCGCAGCTTAATAAAAAAATCTAAAAAATATTTTACTTTTATATTCATTAACATTTATTAGATATTTTTATTAAGCTGCGGCTTGTACAAGAATGACATTAAAGAAATACTATATCTATTCTACAATATAAACATGACAGATTTTTGACAATTTAATTACTTTCTAATAGTGTCTATATATCTGTCATATTATATACAAAATAATCTTTATTCAGAGTTGATGAGTCTGAGGTCAGTGTAACATTGAAAAGATATAAAGAAAGAATCAAAGATGCCAGGTACTTTGACATATCCAATTTATGCTGGCGTTGACTCACTTCCTCCCAGAAGACGCACTTATACCTGGAATGCACAACATCCTTCTACATCACGTGTAAGAGAAGTTAATGCGCAGCTTGATCCAGAATCGTTATCAGAGCCTTTGGTAAGACGTATTAAATAATATATTTTAGAAAATTTTCATATATAGTGTTTTAGCGCATCATATAATTTTTTCAAATAACATACACATTTGATTAAAAGTCGTCAAAGTACTGCGACTAATAAACTCGCATTCTTTTTGTATTACATAAAAAAAAGATTAAAAAAAAAATAAAATTAGTGTCGTAAAACTCTTTGTATTATGATGCGACATGTGAGAATTATGTGAAAGCATATAAAAGGTTTCCTAATCCTTAATATATATAAATATAGTAGCTATTGTTTGCTTGATATTTAAATACTTTCGTCAAATTTGCAGATACTTTTAAGGCAAATGTTATAAAAACTATAATCACAAAAATATATGTTTCATGATTATTACAATTTTCATTGTTCTAATCATAATAGTTTTCAAAATTAAAAGTCTGTCATGATTCTAACAATGTATAAGATAACGCAGAGATAACAAATTTTTACAATAATTCTTTATTTAACGATTGTGGCACTTGAAATATTGAATAAAACCTTGATTCTCGAGATATATTAAACAAAAAATTGTTTTTAAGATTATTTTTTATATTTTGTATTGATAAATAAAATATGATTTTCGATTCTAAAACATGGAACATTTTTTCATCAATTGCATATATTAAATTACAATTGTGTAATATTAAATTATATAATACAACATACAACATATAGAGAATAAATTTAGAGAATAAGCAGTTTAGTTATGCGAAGAATTTATGTCTCATCGCATCTTTCGAATTTCTTGCAAAACTTTCATATTTTCTACTATTTCCCGCTCTGTCAATAAAAAATGTCTCGATTAAAAACAAAGGGAATATTATAACGTAGATTTAACGTAAGATAATAATAATTTTGACACTTGTTTAATCCTAAAGTATACGATCGAACACACTCAATGTTTTCCGAATATTTAAAAGGAGGCTGGCCATCTTTGTACCCGGAAGCGAACATGTCACATCCGTCTCGATCGCGCAATAGTCGCGAAGAGGGGGTTAACACACAAAATACATAGGTTTCTTGATGGCACATAAGAAACTGTGAGGCCCGTTAAATTGTACAAGAAGGAGCGTTCGCGGTGATTATATACAAATCGCGAGCACACGAAACGTTAATGGCAGAGGAACATGTTTATGGTTACAATCCGACGGTCGGGGTCGATGGCGATTCCGTACGTAACTCCACTTTGACAGTTTGACAAGTACAGGTTGGGTTTCTGGCTGACTGATAAAGGCGCATCGAGACTTACTTTCGGACACGAGTTATTTTTTTTTTTTTTTTTTTTTACGTTATCTCTCGTGAGGAGCAGAATTGTTGCGATCTACGTCGTGTATTTTTATCAATGACGCGTATCACGAAGTGACGATGACAGCAATCTGTCCGTACCATATCGAGAAAAGTTATCAATGTCAATTTTATATTGCACACTCGTCACAATGGAGCAGTATTTTATTTGCGTTCTTCGACACGTGCCTTCAACATGATCGAAATAGTTATCATTAAGTATTTGTTATTTCGACATTTTAATATTTATTGTTGCAATAATGAATAATGTTGATTATTGGAATAAGTTTCTGGTGTAATTGTTTGGAGACATATCTTGTGCAATGAAATGCAACATTCCAAGAAGACTCTTGTCTGCCATTATGATAATGTCAACCTGAAAGATATCCTCAGATTATTTGTCCATAATAGATTTGTGCCTTTAAAGCTTGTATTATTATAACTTTGTGCTTTGAACATAACTATAAATCATTTTTAATTAGTTTGGCAGATGCCAAGTATGGACTTTGACATACTTTTATTAATATTAAGTCTATCGCTTATTATTTTTATTAATGTCATCTTGTCAATAATAAGGCACAGTTTTGGTATTTGATGATTTTTATTCTTATTACAGGGAGACGAGACAACAAGCAAGTTGAGATTAAAAGTAATCGCTGGGCATCATTTAGCTAAGAAAGACATTTTTGGTGCGAGCGATCCCTATGTACGAGTTGACTTGAATACGATAAATGGTGATCAGACAGTAGATTCTGCACTTACAAGAACTAAGAAGAAGACATTGAATCCTGTCTGGGAAGAAGAATTTATATTTAGGGTTAGTAAAATTTATGAAAGTACAATATATAAATTCTTAAGGTGTTTGTATTAATTTTCAATTTATATGTGCAATTATTATTAATATAACTTTTTATTAGGTTAAACCAGTAGAACACAAATTGGTCTTACAAGTTTTCGATGAGAATAGATTGACAAGGGATGATTTTCTTGGTATGGTGGAGTTAACATTGATTAATTTACCAAAGGAACAAGAAGGTCGCGCTATTCCTGCTAGGAATTATGTACTTCGTCCACGTAGGTAAGTATTATCAATAACTTTTTGCTTCAAGCTATATATATTCTTCAACTAATTTAATACATGACGCACCTTAATTTACATTGTTTGTATTTAATCGCAAGTTTAGTTGGAATTACATAAGTTTAAAATATGTTATAGCCTATAACCAGTTAGCACAAATGCACAAATAACACATAAATAAGCATAATAAAACAATATATATATATATAAAATAATATTTTATTAATTAATTGTCCTAATTTAAATTTTCAATAATTTACATTTTAATTTGAACTTAATTATATAATTAAAAATATACGATTTCTCGATATATATTAATTAAATTAATATTATTTCATTGAAATTTGTTTGCTTTGTACTTTTTATTTGCAAATGCGAATTGAATAACTTATGAGGATATGGCTAGTAATCATTCCAGTCAGCGGTCACGAGTTAAGGGAACATTGGAACTATATCATGCATACGTTTCCGACTCATCTAGTATTGAAAATGATAATGGAGATGTGTCTGATTCCGGCGGATGGGAATTAGTACAGCCAGAAAATAACACTCCAGTAGAACAAGCTGCAGATGTATGTACAAATGTATCATTGTATTAAATTTGTGTGTGTATATATGCTAATTATATGCAACATTCTTCTAAAAAATAATATAATTTTTATACAATTGTACATTTTAATATTTTTTAATTACATGAAATACTTTTGTGTGTGTATAGATAACAATGGTTACTAGGTCATTACCACAAGGATGGGAAGAAAGGCAGGATGCAAATGGTCGTACATACTATGTTAATCATATAGCGCGTTTTACACAATGGGAACGACCAGAACCGTATGTAATAGTGTTTGTCCGATATCATTTGATTTTCGAAATGTCTAAATCTCGAACTTTCATCTTATTATAATACAGAGATACAACAGCAACGAGTGGAGTTGTTGAACAACGTAATTTGGATACAGCGGCTACTGAGTTTCAACGACGATTCCATATTAGCGCTGATGACGAAGGCAGGCACAGAAATTCGGTAGTAAATCAGGTAAGTTATAAATAGTATAAATATACAAAAATATAATGTTTTTACATTACAATTCTAAACTGCTCTATCTCTGCATAAATTTTCACAACACATATCTATATCTCAAATCAAAGATTAGAAAATAATATACATTAATTCTTTATATACATAGAAAAACATTAAATTATTCAAGTGCAATTCATTATTATTCATGCTCTATCCCGAATATCTAGTTCGGCTATTTAACACGAGATTGCCTAATTATGTTATGGACATTACATATTTTATATCTGTTTATATTTTAGAAAATTTTCGCGTTTAGATTGCAAATTAGAATAAACATAAAAAGTATATATATGTTTCTTTATATATTCTTAAATAATTTTATATTTTTCATATTTTTGCTAACTGCGTAGTAAATAGTAATATTCTCTGCTTTCAAATCTCCATGCTGACAGGCATTATTATTTTTTCGTATTGTATTCATGTCTCATATAAGATACACATGTGTTCGTATACGCACACACGCACAAAATGTCTTATTTGTAGTATATACTTAATATAGTATATACGAAACTAAAAAATGTAAAATATTTATTATAACATCATTTGTAAATGTATTATATTTTATAAAATGCGCGCAAGCATAAGATGATTCCTAAACACATAGTGCATTTGTAAAAGAACGTAAACATTGTTGCTATTTATTAAATTAGATTTTTATTTTATATATATATATGTATAAAATAAAATTGTATGTATATATATATATATATATATATATATATATATATATATATATATACACAATATAAACATTTTAGTTTCAATGTTAGCAAGAACTTTTAGCTTTAACACTCATTTTAATAATGCATTCGGATGTACACAACATTGACTTGTGCATAATGATGTTCTTTATTGCATATTTTCTTGATGTAAGAATGTGTTTAGTATTAATAATGTAGTAAATAGAAATATACTCTCTAATTACACACAAATTAGTAAATACCAACAATTTAATATTAAATTATTATTAAATATTTATCATATTTTAATTATTATCAAATGATTTCTTACTTTTAATATGTTTTTAAAATGATTAAAACAGAGTTTTTACACACGTATATATAAAATGTCAAAATTAGTATACAATTTGTATCAATTAGCATGCAGTATGTAGAAATTTGTGCATGTGTGTGTAAGGATGGTGAAGTTCTACGCGAGGACGATGAAGATTCGGAAGCAAGAGAGTGTGAGGGTGGGGATCATAGGGGAGGGGGTATTGGGGATTCTTCAGACTCTGGACGTTCTGTCGATCAACGTGGCTACCTTAGTGAATCTGAAGAGCAGGTATTAATATATACAAAGTTGTTATGTTCATTTTTAGTTGAATATAACGCTTAACGCGCGCATATACACATTATATATATATATATATATATATATATATATATATATATATATATATATACACATACATGCATACACACACACACACACACACACACACACACACACACACACACACACACACACATATATATATATATGTATGTATGTATACATATATATGTACACATATATATGTATATACATGTATATATTATATTCATTTGCTTCTTATAAAGTCAGTAATAGCATATGTGTTTTATTTTATGCATCATTTTGACATATTCAACACTGATAAAGCTATGCTACATCAATTACACAAAACAAACATGTATTATATGTTCTAATTTTTTAATAATTTTCTTTATATTACCTAGTGTAAAATATATAATATTTAAATATGGAAATATATATCTAAATATTTTAAGAAATTCTATAGTTTAGTAATAATAAATATAGTAGCAAGTAAAATTTATAATTCTTTATAATTTTTTTTTGTAAAGCAGTTGATGAAATATGAATATTGTAAATAGAGTGTTAACTATAAAGGCTTTTATTTTTTAGATTAATGAAATATTGAATGTTACACAAATATTCTTTTAGTCTGTTCTATAATATATATTATTGCTTTACAGTTTAATATTTCTAGCATGCTTTTAAAAGTTTCTGTAAATGTTAAAAATTCTTTTGTAAAAGTTTATAAAATATTTTTATATTTATAAAAGTTGGCACGAATTTTTCTTCATATATTTATATTTATAAACTACATATAACAGCAAAAATGTTTTAATAATTTATTTCTGCACTTAAAAGTATTCTCGTGAGAGTGTAATACATGTACTAGTTTGTTATATTATAATGAATATGTGCATACTAGTTTTATTTGATGTATCTATTTTATTGAAATATATGTAATATGCAAATATTTTTACTTTATATTTACAGACTGATGATAATGTTGATAGTCCAGCTAGTTCGAGGCGTTCATCAGAACAGGTATAGTCAATAATATACATACACACACACACACACACACACACACACACACACACACATTCCATTAAATAATTTATAGTATTATGTAATATATATGTTCAATATATACATGTTTCGTTATTCTGTTTGCAAAAATTTTAGAGTGAAAGTCCCAAACCTATTCTTCCTGTATCTAATGATGAAGGATTGCCACCTGGATGGGGCATGCAAGTTGCACCTAATGGTAGAATATTTTTTATTGATCACAATGAGAGAACGACAACTTGGATTGATCCTAGAACAGGGAGACCAAGTTCTATACCTAATCATATTGCACCATCAACGACACCGAGAAGTGATATAGATCAATTAGGACCGCTTCCAGAAGGATGGGAGGAAAGAGTCCATACTGATGGACGAATTTTCTTCATAGATCATAGTATGTATATAATTTTTTTTTCTAAATTAAGGTTTCGCGTTAATTGATGATAATATTCTATCATCGATTCTTATTTATTTATTTTTTTTTAAATAGATACAAGGACAACACAATGGGAAGATCCACGTATGTCTAATCCTCAAATTGCTGGTCCAGTACGTGATTATAAATATTTTATATGAATCTTTATATATAGTTGTGTAAAATGAATAACATATATTCATTTAAACTTAAATATTAACAAACTTCTAAAATTTTCAGGCTGTACCATATTCTAGGGATTACAAGCGTAAATATGAATATCTAAAATCACAGTTGAGGAAGCCTGTATGTATAAATATATTTACATTATATAACTTCAATCAAGTATAAATACGGTTATTATATCAATAATATGTTATTACAGAATAATGTTCCTAATAAGTTTGAAATAAAAGTTGGACGGAACAATATTTTGGAAGATTCGTATCGTATTATAAGTTCTGTTAATCGAGTCGATATTCTAAAGACGAAACTGTGGGTAGAATTTGAAGGTGAAATAGGCTTAGATTATGGTGGCCTTGCAAGAGAATGGTTCTTCTTATTGTCTAAGGAAATGTTTAATCCATACTATGGACTCTTTGAATATTCTGCAACGTAAGTATAAAAATATTGCTTTGTGATACTTGTAATTTATGAATATAAGACAAAAATAACAAATATTCTTCTGTTTAATCTTAGAGATAATTATACGCTTCAAATTAATCCTTGTTCTGGTGTATGCAATGAGGAACATTTGAATTATTTTAAATTCATTGGACGTATAGCAGGAATGGCTGTTTATCACGGCAAGCTTTTGGATGGTAAGAAAAGAGAATCGATATTATATACTAAAATATAATATGTATAAAAGATATAGGTATATAATTATATTTCTGCATTTTTGTGAAGTTTATCATATATGTCGATATTTACAAATTCTTTATTTGTTTCAGCTTTCTTTATTCGACCATTTTATAAAATGATGTTGGGTAAACCAATTGATCTGAAAGATATGGAAAGTGTTGATTCAGAATATTATAATTCTCTTCTATGGATTAAAGAGAATGATCCCAGTGAGTTAGAACTTACTTTCTGTCTGGATGAAGAAAGTTTTGGCCATACTTCTCAAAGAGAGTTAAAGCCAGATGGTGCTAATATTCCTTTGACTGATGAAAATAAGGATGAATATATAAGTTTAGTCATACAGTGGCGATTTGTATCTCGTGTACAGGAACAAATGAATGCCTTTTTGGAAGGTTTTAATGCTCTTATACCATCAACATTGGTGAAAATATTTGATGAACATGAACTAGAGCTGTTGATGTGTGGTATACAGCATATTGATGTGAAAGACTGGAAACAAAATACTTTATATAAAGGAGACTATCACGCAAATCACATTGTTGTACAATGGTTTTGGAGAGTTGTTTTGTCATTTAGTAATGAAATGCGTTCTAGATTATTACAGTTTGTGACTGGCACATCACGTGTTCCAATGAATGGATTTAAAGAACTTTATGGTAGTAATGGACCGCAATTATTCACCATTGAGAGGTGGGGTACACCAGAGAATTATCCAAGAGCTCATACTTGGTGAGTCCTTACTATATTCATGCATTTCATTAAAATTTAATTAAATTAAAATTATTTTTAATTTGTTTTAAATTATGTTAAATATATTTTTGTATTTATTTTATTCATTCTATTTTAAGAAAGTATCATAAAGCTATTGTATTTCTTAATTGATTATTTTCTAATTTTGTCTATTAATATCATATTAATTTCTTATTAGTATCATACAAATTTATCATTACAATTATTATATAGTAGCAGTATATAAATATGTAACAATATATAAATTGTTTCAGTTTTAATCGTATTGACCTCCCCCCATATAAAAGTTATCAACAACTCAGGGATAAGCTAGTTAAAGCAATTGAAGGTTCTCAAGGTTTTGCTGGAGTCGACTAGCACGAAATACCTTTATTCATGATGATATCTGTAATATAATGTATATATTACACATATATCTATATAGATACACAGAGAAGTATATCTGTCCTAACATGATTACCTATTTAAAAGTTTTTGCACTTTAAGAATTTAGTTGTCCCGTAATTATGAGCAACAACATTAGATACATTGGAAATAATATATTACAAAATTAAATTGCTTAATTTTTCTAAATAACTTCAATCTTTACATAATAACTTCAAGTTTTTCAGCATGTTAAACTTTAAAAAGAAAATACCGATTTGCTTAATCTTTGAAATGCTAAAACTTGCAGTTGTATAACTAATCTACTTTTAAAGATATGCCATATTTTTACTATTTCAATTTTTTAGGATTTCTTAAGAAAAGTAATTTGGCTGCTATAACAATGTGATATTATGATATTGATTAATTAATACGTTGTTTTCATTTGTTAATAATATTAAAACATTGTTATATGATTCATGGAAATAATTTATTGAAATGTATATCACCAAATTCTATATATAAACTGTTTTAAAAGGTCGTATTGTATACATCATATTAATTGTATCATATTAATTGTCAGACAAAGAACAATTAATACTATTTTGTGAGTTGAACTGAAATGAAAGAACAAATGCTCTATATATTTTGTGCTTATATGCATACTTCATTTATTTTCTACTTTTTTCATGATATTAGTATGATATAATGTTGTCGTGCTCAATAAATTAAATTCTTAAAAAATGTGCACTTAAGATTAAATTTTGAAAAAAAATTGATTAACTTTTGCTTTTAAAGGATTATCTATAGTTTTATATTACATCAAAAACACTTAAAATTGTAATTGTTATTTTAAAAAGCATACACCTATCAAACTTATACTATTGTGGATATTGAGATGTTATACTTCATGATTTATTTTAATTATATTTTATAGCACATTTTACACATACACAAATTCCACTTCTTTTCGTCATTCTTTAAGCATGCAAACTTTTAATCTTTTGCACTGTTTAATACTTATGTAAATTGTTAGTATTTTGTTAAATCAAATGTAAAACATTTATATATACTGACTTATCTTTTTCGTTTATACATGTTTATACATGTTGTTCTTTTTTGATTATCGAATAGTAAGAAATGACATAAAAATCCTGTTATAAAAGAATGAAAAATAGAAAAGAAAGTATACTTCTATTATGTACAGAAGAATGTAAAACAGTTTCTTATTGTTAATTATGTTGTGGAAGAAAAGGCAAGAAGTTCAGCTTGAAATTCAAAATTAATAAAATAAAACTATTTTATTTTATGTTAAGATATATATAATTTTTTAGAATAATTTATTAATAAGAAGATAAATTTATATTCCTTATATTAACATAAAAATGCAAGATTTTAAGCTATATTAGGATACTAAACTTATTTGTAAAATAAGTATTTTGATGATCAAGAAAATTAATGTTTAAAATTTAATTTAAAAATAATTTAATTGATTAACAAGTTATATCAATAATCTTTCTTTCCCTTCTTGCTTGTTCTTCTAGATTCAATAATAATTTAATAATGTATATTGTGCTTTAAGTAGCATAATTGTATAGTTTATTAAGGAACAACAATCACGAAATTGTTTCTTAAAAATCTAACTATTTGTATATTTTGTCCATACTCTGTTATAATAACATTCAAAATAATTTCGAAAGTAAAACGTAGCTCCTTGTTAATAATCGAAAATGACAAAATTTATGTCAAATATGGCTGCCTATCTTGTATCATATAATATTTATCCACAAAACTAATATACATTCTGAAGGACACAGAGTTGATATAACATTCCATCCTATTTGTACAGCTTGTTTTATTGTAAACATATACGGATACGTCCCATTAGATAATAAACAACATTATCATAGCAGAAATTTTGTGGCCTTAAATTCTGGTTATGAGATTTCTTATTTCAATAAGTCTCTCGTTCGTATAATCTTAGAATTTTATGATAATAAAATGCGCTAATTATTCGCAAATAAATAAATATCTTTTTATATGAATATCTCTTTCATCTTTACATTAGATTTGCAAAAAGATATTTGTATAAGTTTATATTTTTAATATGTTAATACTTTTCTTAGCTTGGAGATTACTTCAATGTAATCTAATATGTTGTAAAATGCGAATAAAATTTTGAGCTCATTATTGAAGCAACAAACAACTAATGCGCAATTCAATCTTTATAAATTAAAATAAAGATTGGATATATAAGATATATATTGTATGCATATACAGTACAATGTTCTCTAGGTCTGCACTTCAAAACTGTTTTTCTTCCTTTTATATTAATATATATAATATAATAAACACACAGTATTATAATAATTATATATATGTATTTACAATTATATATTATATATATATATAATATCAAGTATAGATTTTTTATTCTTGATAACAAAATTAATGTTATTTGTTTAAAAATGCGACTTTCTGTATATATACATGAAATATTATTTAATATATATAATGATAATTATAATTTAAAGAAATTATAATTTGTGAACAATATAATTAAGCAATACATTCTATATATATAGCAACACATATTATACTTACAGAACATTGTTACAGTTTAATGCAGACGATGCGAGAGACTCATAAATTTTTGTAATTAAGTATGAGTATATGCTCTATAAATTGTAGTTTCTTGTATTATATTCTCCTTATATAAACATTTATAAATACAAAAAAGCAGTAATGATAAGATATCTAATGAATTTAATAGTCGCGTTTGGTATTCTATGTATCGTATAAATCTTTTTACAGAAACCAGCGTGTTAAAGTTGTATCTACCTGTAAAAATTGTGACGATATCAAAAAAAAGATTTAAAAATGTAGTTATTATCACAGATTAGATGTTTTGTTTGAAATTGACGGCATTTATGCTTTATCTATATAAATATTTTTAGCCTGTAAAACTTAATGCCTTATGATAATTATATCACGCATTATACAACATATCTACTTAATGTTTGCATCATTATTTACCGATGTAGCGATACATTGAGCTTATTGCTGCATCAGCTATTATTTGTCTATGTATACTTAGAGAACGTATCTTTATCTATACGATCAATTTTCACTCTACCAAGGGTCTTATTTAATTTACGCAAAGAGACTTAATTGTTTTTAAGCTAGCTCAATGTGTACACATTTTATTTACTTATGTGCATGAACTGAAAAAAATGCGTGACTTAATTATGTTATATCCTATTAATTCGTATGTAAATATAAAAAATATATATATACAAAAAATATATATACAAATACGTTGTAATATATACATATATATATATATATATATATATATATATATATATAAAACGAGCGCTTCTATATCGCAGTTGCAACGAGAAAATACGTAAAAAAAATATGCTTACCGTGCTACGCCCTTGTGTTATAATTATTAATACTAACGAAATGGTGGAGTTTTCAATTATGGATTTTAAGCATTAATAATTATATTTAATAAAATTAATATTACGAGACAAATTATGTTCTTATAATAATATTGTGGAAAACCAAACTATATATGCAAATAAATTATATTAAAAAGTTGCATATTTGGGCACAACACCTGATTCTTATCGTAGATGATACAATAGAAACATTTTATGGATACAATTTATTTCAATCTCTATCTGATTTGTTTTCACTTTGTTATTGATTTGTTTTCACTTTGTTATTGATTTGTTTTTACTTTAAAGTGACTTAATTTCGAATCACGTACTTATCAGTTTCAATATTGGTTTCAGTTTACTTATTCTTATATCTGTAGAAATCTATTTAAAAAAATATTAATTAATATTTCATTTAATACCGTTATACTTTATTTTTATATATTGTAAAATGTTGAAAAATAAGACTATAAAAATTCAAGAAACTATATTATATTATAAATTGCGACTTTCAATAAATTTAGCCAGTTAATAAAATATTAGTTATAAAGTTCATGAATAATTTAAAAGAAAATCATTGTTTAGTAATATATATAATTGAGAGAGATAAAGATTAGTTCTTTTTTTATTCAGATATATTAATATTTTATCAGTTCTAATCACACATTAATCTACATCTCTTATATTCTCTGACTTTTGAGATGATCAAATCTTCAAATAATTAATATATTAATTATATATAGATATAGATTTATAATTTTAGTATTACAAATTTTATTTTATTTTTCTTCTTATTTTAGTTTCCATTATTTTACTTTATTTTAATTAATTGATATAGATTTTAAATAAATAATTTCCTATATTTTTATATTCGGCTATATTATCGAAATTGAGAGAAAGGGAAAGAAATCCATATTCAAATATGCCGCCAGATGTGACGTTCCGAGTACGTCGACGCGCCGCGAGATGGTGCTACTCGCGGGCACATCCGCAGAATCAAAAAAGACAGTTGGGAAGTGTAACATCACACATCGATTCGGCGGCCCGCGTCGAGCTCGAAAAAAAACTTTCCTCCACCGCGTTCCTTGGACCCAGGCCGTGTCCGGACGCGACGAAACCGCGCAGCAGCCCGTCGTCGAAACGTTTGACGCGCGCGTACGCGTGTGGTGCGGTGAATCCAAGTGACACTCTTTCTCTCTCTCTTTTGTGTGTCGGCGATACGTGTGTAACGCCGAGTGGAAACGTGACTGTCCCTTCGGTTATACGGCGGTGTTCCTGTCATCGGAGCGGCGACAGTACCGAAACGGGAGCAGCGGCAGGATAGCACAGCGACAGCCCTCAAGGTCCCAACCCCCGGTTACCCGAGAGCCGCGTCGTCGACATCGAGGGAGGGAAACATCGGCGCGCTGATAACGGTTGCGGCGGCGGAGGTCACTGCATTGCGGTGAGTACGTCGAACTTTATAATACGTACTTCAACTTTCCTCCTCGTACATATTATTCCTCGCGGCATCGCGCTGCCGCGACACACCTCGAAATCTCGTCGCGGGGATGCGATCCTTCGTTCCCTCGCGAGCGAACGTCATCCGCCGTCCGGGGGTTCATTACCCTTCGGCGACGAGTTATATGCCGATGTGTACGCGAACCCCGCACTCGGTGGTGGTGGTGACGGTGAGCTTTCCATTTCGGAGCTTCCCGAATGGCTCTGGAGAATTTTCGAATACCCCGCGACAGGAAGGTCAAGGAAGGAGTCATTGTTCGGAATGAGAGGTCTTTGCGAACGTTCACACATTCCTCGCTATCGATTGACATTTTGAGTTTTCGAGTTTTGGACAACATGTGATATATGCGCATATTAAAGATATTGTCGCGTATTCTTTGATAAAAACATATTGCAGATATATATATATATATATATATATATGTGATATGTATTATTTTAGAACAGTATAATTCATCTATAATCTATTACAATATTT